AACACGGGTACAAAAACCAAAAAAAGGTCCTGGTCACTAAGGGGTTAAATATCATTATGCTAAATATTTACTATTATAGCATCATGATGGTGACAATTTTACCACAAATATGATTTTGTGCTACATCACTTGAAGGACTTCAGTGGAGGAACTTTAAAAATGATCTTCAAAACACTTTTTTACAGACCTCAGTAGCCGCAGGCAGTCTGAAACAATTCATCCTCAAGGAGAATCACTGAAGTCCTTTAGGTCAGTCTTCCAGCAACTCTGTTCACCCTCCTCCCCCTCCCGTAGCACATTTTATGTTTTTATATTAGATATTAAAAGGTTGGAAGGCTATCAAGTCACTGCTGTGAGGGGGAAGCTGGGCTGCTGAATGGCATCAGTGCTTCTGCTGTGAATATTGAAGATAAATTGCTCCAAAGTGCCTGCAGAGGTCCACAAAGGTTTGTTTTAAAGCTCACTTACTGTTTGTTAAAGCAAAACTCCAGCCAAAAACTATTTTTGGCAATTTTCTCTGTAAAAGTAAATGAGCACTAATAAATTGTGTGCAAAGTGTGGCTGCTGGTGGGTAATGTGGGTTACGTAATACTCTTACATTCATTCCCCCCTGTAAAGCACAAATCTTACAGCTCCAGCTGGAATACACAGATCTCAGGAGGCTACTCACTCTGCTGCTCATCCATCCAAAAACATCTTGCATTCTTCCCAATAAATGCAAGGCATTCTGTGATTGGACAAGGGGAAATTGTGATGTTCATCTTCACCTAATCCAGTCACAGAAACAGAGGATTTCTAAAACCCGATGAGGCTTATGAAATAACCCCTAGATTATACAACTTGGTGTTGTGATACTGGACGGAAACTATATTGACATTCTACCCTTAATCCTTGTAATCACAGGTACGCTTGTATGGCTAACTATATGAGTCCTGTGTAGATCTAGGTTTGCCAACTTTGTGAATCACATTATATTATCTTCCCAGTCAGTTTTTAAAGGTGTAAATTGATGTAAAAACCCTATGCCAGTCAAGTTATCTGCAGTAGTTATTAATATTATATTAGATATTAAAACATCAAAAATCAAAAGTGGAGGTATATAATTATGTGAAATCAATAATAGCCTCACTACTTCAGCCTGAGTGTAAAAGCCAATCAGAGTACATTCTGTAGACTTGTACTATCCCAATACTATAACTCAAGCTGCCCATACACCAGTAGAATTTAATTTTAAGAGATTTGTTTTTGGAATGTTCACTCTATCTTTTAAATAGTTAACGGGGCCAAAGTGACAATCGTTTTTGGCTGTAGTGATGAAAAAATAAAAAGCAGCAAGATAGACAAATGGAGCGAAATTCTAACAGTGAATATGGTTTTGATTTAGCAAACTCCATCATTCCAAAATCCAATGTTGAAACCAAATGAAATTTTGAATGACATTCATTAAGTCTCTGTTGGCATTATCGAATGTTCTGACGACATTTTCCATTCATACAAAAATCTACCAACGTATGGCCAGCTTAACAATTTTGTTGTCTTCATTGGAAATTGCTAACGAAGTCTTGAGTTTGATACATTGGTTTTAATACTTTGGCTAATGCTTATACCTCCACGTACGCACTGATGTGTTTGTAGAAAGCCTGTAACGGCATTTGAACACTACTTTTTGCAGCACTTTTAGCTTATGTTTTCTCTGTGTTTCCTATGTGATTTAGTCATATACATTTAAAATCAAAGAGCACATTTTGTCTGCTATGTAATTTAATTTCCCAAGATGCAATTGTTAGGTGCATCAAAAACATATGAAATTGAATGTTGGATGTATTAAAATGCACATTGCATATGTATATAGTAGTATTGCTTACAATTACATGTTCATGCCACACAAAAACATGTATTAAATGCACTTAAAGGTCTCAGTGTATAAGACAGTTTTGTGTCTACTGATACATAAATAGGGACGTATTTGTGAAAGTGTTGCAATGCAGGCGCATTCATTACAAACACTGCATGAATACTGTGGAATGAAAGTAGTGAGAACATACCCTAATTCATGCAGACAGACAATACTGCCCCTTCCTATGTTGCATATGGTATACTATAGTTATTTTCTTGGTAATTAATGCCTTATACACACTGCACTGCATACTGTATACATCATATTGCTATATGACTATATGAATGGGCAGAACAATGACTTGGAGATTAGCACTCTTACCTTATAGCAAAAGGTTCCAAATTTGGAAAGCCAATGGGAGTTAGTGTGTTCTCTCTGTGTGCAGGCTTACTCCAGTATACTTCCATAGCCCAAAGACATACTTTAGGTTCAGTACTTTAGCTCTTGCTGTGGAGAGCTTACGACTTGCAGTTTTCAGTACGAATAGTTTTGAACTCCATCCCCCATGTTCCACAAAGTCCCAATCTATCTTGTATAATAAAACACCCACTAACCCTTACCTTCTCTTACCTTTACTTCATTAAACCTTAAAGGAGAACTATGAGGTGAGTGCTTTTCACTCACCTCATAGTTCTAGCCGACCTGTGACAATGAGACTGTCACAGGTCGGCTCAGTAGATCGGGAAGTGAGCGAACACATACCGGCGTTCGCTCACCTGTTGATCCTGTCACGGCTCTCTGCCATGACAGGGGAGGGGCTGGATTCCCCCCGCTCTGATCCACCAGCGCTGACTGACGGAACGGACGGGGGAGGGGGCGGGTACAGCTGGCTCTACCGCTAGATAGGCAGAGCCAGCTGTCACTCACGCAGCTGGGCGGATCCCGGCATAATTGTCGGGATCCGCTTCAGCTGTGGCGTCTCAGTATACCACGAGCAGCAGCCTTAAGGAAAAGCCTTAACCCCATAGTTCTCCTTTAACAGTAAACTTATCTTACTTTTTTTTCTGTTAACTATACCTTTGAAAGTGTTTTGTTATATCTGTTCAATAAGTGCAAAAAAAAACTGTTGATCCTGCCACAAATCCAGTAAGCTTTCAACTTACTGTAAACTCTGCCACTGCTATGAAAAGCTCACGGTGAGACTCATGGATGGCATGAAGTAACTCCACAAAACATGGGACCCCTGGATCAATCTTACTCAATCATCATCTTTTGATCGTTGGCTTTTGGATCTTTGAGTTTTCTATAAGTATAGTACTCTGTAAGGTCACACTTCTTTGAGATATCATCCACTTTTGTCCATACCCGGGGCGATCCACCCCTCCACCTTTATATCCCCACCCCTTCCACCCTCATTCCACCGTTGCTTGATCTTTATTCTATCCCTTGATCGCACCTCTATTTTTCTCCAATTATACACACTCACCCTGTTTACTATAATCTAAAGCGTATTGATATTAGCCCAGAAATGACGGAAGTATAGTAAACCTTTTGTGTGGCAATTGTGAAGTTGGAAGTTACTGTAAATTGAATAGTCCTCTCTCTTTCTCATGTCAAAACCAATAAAAACTTCTTTAATATTAAAACTCTGCCTCTGCTGCATTCAAATCCCTAGGAGTCTTATCAGCCCTGCCCAGGTTACCTCTGCAGACTGTAGAACACCCCCGATGTTATGTAGATAATGAGAAGCAGGGCTGTTCTGTAGTTCAAATTAGGAGTGAGCAGCATAAAGTAACAACACTGCTTCTCCATACAGTGATCATTGAGGAGAGAAAGTGTGTTAGTGGCAGGACTACCAGGTGAAAAATAAAGGGATAAGAAAGCCAGAAAAAATAAATGCAGTCACCACATCTAAGAATTGGTAAATTGCAATATATTACACTTTTGTTCTTGGGTTTAGTTCCACTTAAACCTAACCCCCTAAAATAATGCCTTAATTCTTAACACTTTACGCACCACAAAAGGGGTAAGGTTAACACTTACCCCACCCTAATACTTAATTAACCCCCCTGAAACTTTACCCTTACGTTAACCCTAAAGCTAAAGTCCCTAGTACCTGATCCTAACACTGACCCCTAAAGCACACTAAACTAACTCTAAACCAACAGCCTCTGTATACTTACCTCATTCTTCAAGAGCCACCACACCACAAGACTACTGACCCATGGTAGGTTTATTGGCTTCCACCAAACTGGCCTTACTGTGTGTGTGTGTATACACAAGGGACACTAAGGCTCTGTTCCCAACTAGCTATTTACAGATAAGACGCTCAACACAAGGAGTTTTCTATGGCCCTTGTTCACACCTGAGCATCCTGTCGCTTGTAGCAAAAAACCTGTAGCTTGAAAAAGTACATGAGCTTCTTTCAGGCAGATTTGAGTGTTTTTGTCCCCATATACTTCAATGCAAATACCCTAAAACACACATCACAAGTATGTTTTGGAGCATGTTCCCATGATGTCACGGATGCTACTGCTTTCCATCGGACGAAAACCAAAAAACCCTGAAGCTGAATGCCTACAAAATGCTTCAAAAACACACATATACACATGTAAAAACGCTCAGAAACACTTTAAAAAACCGCCTGAAAATGCGGACGCCCAGGTGTGGGAATCCAGGCTAAAGCTAGTTATAGACCAGTATAATTTTGTTAAAATAAATAGTTTTTGATTTCCTTATAGTGAATGGGGTCAAATTAGCGATTGTTATCGACCATAGTGACAAAACAAAAAATAGAAGGAACAGGATAAAAAATGTTTCTCAAACAAAGGAATTTCTAACAGTGAATGTGTCGTTCGGTAAACTCCATTCATTCCAAAACTGAATGTTAAAACCAAACGAAATTTCAAACGACATTTATCAAGTCTGAGATGGCACTATCAAATGTTCTGACAAGATTTTATATGACCGTTCCTTTTAAAATCTACCATGTATGTATGGGCTTTTCAATGTAGAAGCTCCCTCAGGGGCAGGGACTGACAGGCTGTGGATATATATCGCTGCTATATAAACAAATAACTGAAATACATGGTGTCATTGTACAAGAAATACATGTTGCAGGCTTCACATTTTGTTAAACAGAGTTGATTTTTTTTTTTTATTCTGAGTGGTTCACTTTCAACGGAGATCATGGGAAGGCGGGGACAATGAAACAACATTACACAGGTACGGTAGCATCATTCTGAAGTTCTGAGAAACCTCTACAGTTAATAAGTTAAATAAAGAGTTTGTACATAAATATTTTTGCTAGGAACCTTGTGGTATATCTACAACACAGAGAATTCTACAGTTTGACGAACTTTTACAACACTACACTGAGTGCAATTTTTTTTTATAACATTTCAAATATACAAAGCTCTTTTCCTTATTATTTTTTTTATAACAATGTTATATACAGAATCAGAAATCACAGTTTAGTGACTTTAAACAGTCCATAAATCTGACAGTTCATTTCCCTTTGGTTTGGTATAAAAAAACCTTGGTTGGCATATGATAAAGAAAATAATACAGTATAGAGATATACAGCTTTTATAAGTGCACTGACTAACTGAACTATAGGTATGGATGCATCAAATCTTTGTAGCAAAAGTCCTGCATAAGTAAAATTCCAGCCTTTGTGGCAGAAGAGGGGTTAACAGCATAGGGGTTTAACACTGGAACATGTGAGGGGAGGGGATCATTTTGGGAATGTCTTAGCTTCAAAACCAAAAAAAGAAAATGCATTTAAAAAAAATGGAGAGAAAGTAAGTTGCGTTTTAAATACATCGATTTGCGCATACTATGACGTCATGGTGAAATGAGCATGGAGAGGGGTGGCAGTGGGTGATGTACCAAGGTTTACTGCTCAGGAGCTGCATAATGTTTTTACACTCATTATTACTGTAGTGGTACGCATGGCGTGTCTGGGCAGACAAGGATGCTCATTAGTCACTGGTCCACATTTGCTTCCATTTGGTCTTGGTGGGTTTGCAGCAGAGGTGCCCTTTGCTTTAGCAGACCTCTTTCCCTGTGCTGTTTCCGGGGAGGATGTTCAGCTGTGTGAGTTGTGCTGCGTGCTCTTTAGCTTTTAGCCTGAGGGCTGCTATGCTAGACGCCCTTCTGTCTGCTGCAGCGGTGGCAGGGTCGGACAGGCCGCCGGACTGCACTGCACTCTCCACAGCGGGACTGGGTTGCCTGAGCAGGGCTGCTGCAGTGGAAGCACTAGTTAGAGGGGCCATCGTGGAGAACAGCCTGCAAAATGACAATAGACAATTGTCACCAGAGCTATAATAACATATCATAACCATATTTAACAGTCGGAGATTCATGTGCTTTAACTTCACTGTCCATTGTATAGCACCAAAAAACAGCCATATATCTGTCACCTCATGGACAAGCACAGCAGACATTTGACCCTCATTTACTAAATGGTAGTTCTATATATATGTGTGAGTATACTTTTATGAAAGCCACAGTTAACCTACTGCCCACAGGTATGGGTCACCTAATCATGAAGTGTATTTCCACTTTTGCAGCCAAATTGGGATAACACCTACTTTATGTTTGTTACATATTCCCATTGACAAGTATACCTTTATAAAGGTTTACTAACCTTTATAACTTTTATAATTTGTAGCCTCTGGGATGGGTTACCTAATCATAAAGCATATTTCTATTTTTGCTGCCAAATGGTGCCAACACCTACTCTATATTTGTTACATGCTCCCATTGACAAGTATACCGTTATGAAAGTCACCATATACCTACTATCCTCTAATGCGGGTTGCCTAACCATAAAGCGTATCTCCACTTTTGCAGCCAGATTGGAATAATAACGCCTTTATATTTCTTACATGTTACCATTTGCAGATATACCTAATACACTATAGTGTAGATAACCTAATCTCAAATAATCTTCACCTGTGACCTCATAATGACTGCAAGTTACAGTCCTAAGCAAAGCATGTGGGCCCTTTATAGCTGAGGTATTGTCTCTGCACTTTACTTTAGCCCTTTAGCCTTTATCCTACAGAAGGTGCATAATACAGTATGTATTTTGTTACATCCAATTAGTTATGAGGAAAAAAAAATACCTTACACTAATGTTTAAATCCTAAACTAGAATCCCCTTGGAGAAATCTAGGTAAACCTTTATAACACAGTGTGAACAGTGGTGACCCAGCAGTGGAAATGAACAGCAGCTGTGTTCCCATTTGACATTACACATAGATCCCGCGTACTCGGACCTCCTGGCCTTTCTCTCGCAGGAAGTAATAGTTGTGTACATTTTCCTAAAAGCTGATTGTCAAATATCCATCAGTGACATATCAAGCTAAGCTGAATGACAGAAGAGCCATTATACTTTACTAAGGATGTTTAACTGCTCTCCCCACTAAAATACAGGTGACAGGCCTGGGAGACACAAAATTTATAGGCTCTCCATGAGACGTGACTGTGATCATCAGTTGCCTTGCTGTGATATTTGAAGACTCTTGGCCTAGCTACTGAGAGATTCTAGTGTGCAGTGTCATTGCTGAACCCTGACAAGCTCAGACTCTGAAGAACATCCTGGCACTGCAATGCTCACATATTCATCTAGCAAAGAAAATGAGTAGAAAATGGTATTCCAGCCCTCTATAAAACACAACGGACTGAGCTTTACAGATGTTAAGTGTCTGGTTAGTGGCTAATTATCTGGCGATTATCTGAACATCCATTCTTGTGTTATAATCTTTCTACTGCTCACTTTTGAAATAATTCTAGTTGGAAAAAAAATGTCTGTTCAAAACACACTAATTGGGACATACATCATGACTTATTGTGCTCTATGGAAAACACACCCAGGGTGCTGTATGTATCTATCTGGAAGGACACTGCAGGACACAGCACTTCACCTGCAATGCTTAAAACTAACCGCTCCATTACTGGACCCTGACAGGGATTTAAATGGGCTTTCCTAAACGGTAAAATTCTCAAGAAAGCACGTAGGTGTAAACTAACTAGCACTGCAACACAGAGGGGCTTAGTTTTGAAAAATGGAGAAAAGGTGAACCAGTTACTAGTCAGAGCTAGACTTATATTATACAATACTCTGTGCAAAAATGTCATAAATCTTAGTCGCCTAGCTTAAAAAGTAAGTCTTTAGGTTTGGGGATGCTAGAACATAATACATCTTTTCTCTGGGGAAGATGTGGTGGTTTACTATAGTTCCTTACAATTTTCTTCATAATCTTTCTCTGTATAAGCATTAATAGAAGCCTTACTGTTTGTACGGTCTCCATATTTGTTTATGGGCATTGAAACATCTATAAAGACTACTGAGTAGACCCAGACGACAAATAAGATAAATCTGTATTAGCATTAAAACAAACCGAATCTTCACCGCAACCTCATTGTTGTCAAAGTGCTATGTAAATGTTATTTGATCGATCTATTGTGTATGCCGTTGTTTATTTGATGCACATGGCCTGCTTATATCATCAATGTTTTACCAAAGAAATTAGTAAATACATACTAAAAAAAGAAAGTCTTTGTGAGACCATTTGCACATCTTAATGCATACAAGTGTGTTCTCATGCAAGTAACTCCTCCATCAGCTCTCATAGCTCATTATATTACTGCATTAATCTACACAGTACAAGCAATGGCAGCATCAGCTTTAACAAAGCAGAGAGGATAACAGTAAGAAAAGAGAAAGGCAACTAAATCAGAAGGGTAAAGCAACAGTCTGATTAATGGTTATGTTGTAGTTAACTTTGAAAGAGGTAAAAATGCAGCTGTGAGATCCTACTTTTAGTGCTGTGCTCTATAGAGATCACACAAATAAGCCTATGTTGCTGGTAGCCACCATTCCAATTTTTGGTGGTACATTGCGAGATCTGGAGCAAAAATGCAACAGTTTAGAGTGCAACATTGACTTCTGTAGGCAACTTTGACTACTGCGGGTAACATTGACTTCTTAGGCAACATCGACCTCTGTAAGCAACATACACTTCCTAGCAACATTGACTGCTATAGGCTGTTGCTAGACCTCTTAGGCAACAATGACTATAGGCAATGCTGACTGCTGTAGGCAACATTGACTACTGCAGGTAACTTTGATTGCTGTAGGTAAGATTAACTGTTGTAGGCAACATAGACTTCTTAGGCAACACTGACAACTGTAGACAGCATTGACTGCTATAGACAACATTGACTTCTTAGGTAACATTGACTACTTTAGGCAACATTGACAGCTATCTGCAACAGTTCTATTTCCATTTCAGTTTTGATTAATCATCCCACCTGCTTCATGTAAAATATTATATCTAACTCACAATTGAAAACTGTGGCTTTCATAAATGAGCCCCCAATTAAATGAAAACAAGTTTTGTATTGTATAGGATATATTGTATTGCAAGAAGATAACTGTATAGCCAGTTAACTGTACAGCACCACAGTAATGAGCTGAGTATTCAGTTCAGTGTAGTGACACATCAGCTCAGAAGCTTTAAACGCAGTGCCAAGCATGACGTCATCTCCAGCCTATAATGACGCAAGGCGGGCTTTGACGTCATTCCCACTCTCCTGTCTTGCATGCAGTAGGATTAGAGGGTAGAAAAGGGGGAATTACCTGCCAAACGCAGGGCTGATGAAGGCTGGGTGCCGAAACACAGCTGCCCCCAGGAAGGTGCTGAGTCCCAGAGGGGCCCCACTAGGCTGCAGTGAGTTGGAGCCATGGGGAGGAGGTAGACTGGGAAAGGCAGCTGCAGCTGCAGCAGCAGCCGCGGTCCAGGCAGAGTCCAAGGCATGATGGTGGGGAGGAAAGGGACTGGCATCAAGGTATGGGCTCAGAGGGTGACTGCCAGACAATGGACCAGGGAAAGGCAAGCCAGGAGCATGAGTCTGGGCCCCGGCCTTCTCTCTCTTCCTCCACTTTGCTCTTCGATTCTGGAACCATACCTGTAATCAGAAGGGAGCAACATAATTTTGTGTACTAGACATCCTCATCCCTGCAAGCTTGTCATGTCATCTCCATATGCATAAATCAGCCCTATCCCTGCAAGTCTCTCATGTCATCCCCATAAAAATCTCTTACATTTATCATCTGACATCCATCAATCTATTTATCCATCTCTCTATTATCTATTTATTTATTTATCCATCTATCTTACTATTTATCCATATCTCAATCATCTATTAATCTATCTGTTATATGTTTCACGTGGGAAAAGAGCAGTACTCATAGCAGCTAATAACACATCACCCTAGTTCAGTTTGGGGCAGTATGAAAAATAAAAGATGACTTCTGACTGGTACCTATGAGCTACTGCAGGTTACACCAAGAAACTAAGTCCTGGGCTCTAGGCTATCCTGCCTAATGAAACAAACAATATAAACTCAAAATAAAAAAAAGTGCAATAGTGAAGAAAAATTGTACATTAAGTAATTTAATACTCTGGTGTATTTACATCGGTATTATAGGTGAATCATGTGCAGAGATGCGGCCACCATAATATAGATTGATTAGGTAGCATCAAGTCTCCGTTGATTAGTAAGAGCAGCATTGTGCTGCAGGTGATTGCCCAAACACGAGGTATGATATGGCAGCAGCCTATATGATAGAATAATATCCCTGGATGGCTATTTTTTACTGATGAGCTAGTTTTAGAGAAAGGGGGAGTCCTATAATAATGAATCAGTCGTGTCCCCATCTCTAGGCTTAGTTATAGAAGACTGAATCATTGCTGCTTTGCAGCTGCCTTCTCGCAGTTAATAATGGATGTTACAATTATGAGTTCATTAAAACGGTTCAGTAATGTGATTAGTACAATAAAAAATGAATCCAATGTGTATTTTCGTACCACCAAATTATAGCCGTTAAGTAGATTGTCAGGAAAAGTATTTGGTGCGGAAATGGTGTACGAGAGGCTCGGAAAATATGTCATAGATAATTATTAAAAGAAGGGAAATCCTTATCTATATTAATACCTCAGCTCATCCTTATTTATGCAATGGGGTCAACTAGGGGATGTAATCTATCCTGACGTAAAAAGACTGAATTGCGCCCGACTAGATCGGTTGTATATAAACGGGGAATGGAGTGATCTGTGCGATAACGTGCAATATATACTGTAAATAAAATAAAAAACCTGCATTAAGTGAATTGTGGAGATCCGAGAGGACATTTGTCGTCCCTTGTAAATTGAGACTCGGTGGTAATAGGATGGCTTTCACCTGTTAAACATGCTTGTAAAATCCTCATTACCGCTATATAAATACAGCACAAGTGAGCTCCCAGCCACCATAAACCACTAACATCAGGTGTCATAAAAGGGTTAAGAGATGACTGCTAAATGAAAAATAAACAACCAATTTATGGCTATTTTAAATATGAATATATGCATAAAGTATATACATATATATATATATATATA